GTCCAAAATGGTATAGGGTTTCCTGCCTGAGCAGGGGGTTGGACTAGAAGACCTCCAAGGTCCCTTCCAACTTTATTATTATTACTACGTAAATAAGTGGCAGGCTCAGAGTCGCTTCCAGCAATATAAAATAATTAACCACAGCCTCAATACTGTAATAGGGAGTATCTATAGCTCAGGGTTCAGCTGTTGGGTTAATTCATAGGCTAGTTTTGTTATTTACAGGTGGTCCTCGACTTACGACAGTTGAGCCCAGCAGTTCTGTTGCTAAGTGAGACATTGATTACATGGGTTTTGCCCCGTTTTACAACCTTTCTCGGCACGGTTGTTAAGTGAACCACTTCAGTCACACGGTCTCGTTAAATGAATCTGGCTGACTTTGCTTGTCAGACGGTCGCCAAACGGGATCACGTGACCCCAGGGACGTTGCAACCGTCGTAAATATGAGTCAGTTGCCAATTTTGATCGCACGACCCTGGGGAGGCTGCCACGGTCGTAAGTGTGAAAAATGCTCCTCAGTCACTTTTTTAAAAGCTGTTGTAACTTTGAACGGTCACTAAACGAACAGTTGTAAGTCGAGGACTGGCGCCTGCACCTGCAAATTCTGCCCACCTACAGCACACCCGTGCATACCCACAACCGCAGGCGCCCAGGAACGAAAAAGGAGTTTCTTACCCAATTTCAGCTGCAGGCTCTTTTTGGCCGCGCCGTACTTGTTCTCTGCCGTGCACTGAACCCCGCTTTGGATTAGCGTGGGGTCCAGTTCCACTAACAATTCAGCAACATACTTATTTGCAGAGTGTTTCACTGGCGCCTGGAGGGAGAGTCAAAAAAAGGGATTCGCACATTTTCATGCATTTCTACCAGTGGTGGGATTCAAATAGGGGAACAACCGGTTCTCTGCGTGGATGCCGCTTCCGGAAGTCCGTTCTGGGCCTGGGCAACAAAAAATTAGCTACCGGTTCTGCCAAAGTGGTGCGAACTGGCTGAATCCCACCAAAGGAAGGAAGGAAGGAAGGAAGGAAGGAAGGGAGGAAGGGAGGGAGGGAGGGGTGGTGGGATTCAAATAGGTGAACAACCGGTTCTCTGCGTGGATGCCGCTTCCGGAAGTCCGTTCTGGGCCTGGGCAACAAAAAATTAGCTACCGGTTCTGCCAAAGTGGTGCGAACTGGCTGAATCCCACCAAAGGAAGGAAGGAAGGAAGGAAGGAAGGAAGGAGTGGTGGGATTCAAATAGGTGAAGAACCGGTTCTCTATGTGGTTGCCGCTTCCGGAAGTCCGTTCTG